GAAATCCTAGGAGAATTCCTACAGCTGGTATAGCATTCCATGGTGACAGACAGCCAGGTAGGGTTGCCAGATAAAAAGCAAGACACTGAGTTAAATTTGAATTTCAGATAAACATTATATAACATTTTAGTAAAACTATGTCCCATGCAATATATTTTGGGCCTCCTCTATTTTTATTTGCTAAATCTGACAACTCTAGATTTCCAGCAGAAACTACACACTTCTTTTATTGATTTCTTACTTCACTTTCCAAGATGGTGGCATTCATATCAGAAGGCTTTCATATTCCAGAAAGAAAAGATGAAGAAAAAAGCAATGTGTACATAAACACTGTCTCTTAATAAAGGCTCCCAAAAGCTCTCACACTACAATTCCACTTCCATCTTATGGTTCAGAACTTAGTCACACAGTCACATAGCTACAAGGAAGCACGGAGAGTGCAGTCTTTACTCTGGGCAGCGGTATGCTCACCTAAAAGTTCTCTTATTGTGGAAGTAGGAAGGACTCAACATTGCGGAACAACTACCAGACTCGAAAACATGCCTGTTATCAAAAGTTTCATGTTGTAAACATCAGTGTACTTCTCTAAAACAAAGTTCCCTTTTCATCACACTTAATTGTTTTCAAGATTAAAAATAGAATAACGTATGCAGACTTGTTTTATTACCAGATAAATATTTAATTCTTTCACAGGCAGCATCTACAGGCAGTAACAATAAAGTGTATAAACTGTCAGGGTGAGTATTTGGGACAGTAGAGTTAGAGGTGGACGTGGTGGGTTAGAGAGGGTTCCTTCATGGAGCTATGAGATAGGATTTAACCTTCATGACGGGTAGGATTTTGGAAAATGCTAGGTAGTGGCGAGGACATCTATGGGGGGAGAAGAGCTTAAGTAAGGGTACAGAGTTAGAAATAGTCACCATTAGTTCAAGGAATAGATTCAAGATAATCTGGCTACAGTAAAGGAGCTGTTGCAGAGAGGATTTCAAGATTCCCATTATCGCACTCAGAGCCCTAATAATTGCATTTCTTAATCTTTTTGAATGACTGATAATAAGCTGATTTTTAACAAACTAAATGAACAATTTCTTTTAGTTCTGTAACCCTAGTTGAAATATTTCAATAAATATTTATTGATCATCTCTGATGAGCCAGGCACTGGGGATATACAAATTAATGAGACATGTGGTCCAGAGAGACATGTGAACAATGACACGATGATGTGGTAAGTGCTCCACTGGGAATATGTGTAAAGCGTCATGGGAACTTTGGGAAGTGAGCATCTAACTTTGCTTGTGGGATCTGTGGACATCTAACAAAGAGAGCATTTTTTTTTTTTTTTTTTTTGCTGAGTCATGAGAAAAATAGAAGAAGGAGTCAGGAAAAAGAAGAAAGGATGACCCTTCTTAGCAGAAAATTAAAATGCAAAGGCATGGAATCATTGTAGAGCATGGTGAGTTAGGGGTGGAATGATGGATGTATATCAAGGATGTATGAGTGAGAGGCAGCCATAAAAGATAATAAGACATTGTAACAGCACAGTGATAGAGATATGCTCTGGATACTCATGGAAATAAAAAGGAGGAAATTTGGAGACATTGAATGAAGGGGATTCAGCAAAGGCTCCCTGGAGGAAGTGCCCTGGAACAGCACCGACAAAGGCACAGAGGTGAAAGACAGCATGATGGCTGCAGGAACTTCACATCTCAGTGTTGCTGGCGTGTCAAGAAACCCAACTGAACACGTAAGCAGAGGTCAGATAAAGGACCTTTTATGTCTTACTGCTCCCATGTTTTATCAATTTATTCTTTGCCCCTTGACTTCTTTCCTTCACCCCCAGGCTGGTAGATTAGAGCCAAGAAGCTTTTATTCTGACTGGTCTAATGAAGAAGATTTGCTCCTTGGACCAATCATTGAGGCCTGGAGGTTCCTGTTTCTCCTGCCATGAACACTCCTCAACCCCTGATGAAGAAGCACTCTGGCCCTGAAGCGATGAAGACCAGAAGGCAGGGCAATAGTTGGGTGCAGAGGGGATGAAGAAGCGATTCAGATAGAGGAGGAACAGCGGACAGGGCAGCAACTCCTCCCACCCCCACGGGCTTATCCACAGCCCCTCAGTTAGACAGCAGGAAGGAGGGCTTCCACTCTAGTCTTTGTTTCTGAGATAACTCTAGCTGAGAAAAAAATTTTAAATGAATCTCATATTTCCCATTTCCCAGGACTCCGTGATGTGAAGGGATAGGAGTCTAGATGTTTAATTTTCGTCAATGTTGTTTCTTTCCTATAAAACCAGAAAAATCCTTTGTGAAAAATTGCACAGATACACTAATGACCTTCTCAGCTAGAACATCTTCCAACTCAAAGCTCCCCTGTGGCCCTTTCTCAGAATCATCTTCTGTTTTCCCACCTCAGGTTCTGCCTTGAAAAATTTTAGGGGGTAAAAATTTTTTCTGGTGAATACATCTTCCTCCTCCAAATCCTCTCCCTATTGAAGGTTTATTTCAAAAAGTTGGTTTCAGAGGAAAGGAGAAAGCAGAACACCGAACCACACATATACACAACACTCCTCCACATTTCCCAACTCAAAAATAAAGCACCGTTGAATGAGCTCACTGCGGAACATCCAAATATTTACCAAAAGGAAATGATTCTACATATCAAGTAGAAGAAATGCCTAGGAGAACAGATTCTGACGAGATTTGCCGCTGTGTGCACTGGCAAAAACAACTTAACCAGACAAACACCAGCCCACAAATAATGGCAGTTACTCCCAGGCCAGTGGCAATTCTGTAGGAGGAATGGTTTTCTTTATTTGGCTTCCATTATTTTCCAAGAGACTTAGTATTATATTTAAAAAATAAATTAGAAGCTAGAATTGATCAGGGACCATTATGGAGATGGCTGCTCTGAACCCAGACTTGAAGATAGGTCCACAGAGGCAGTCAATTTCCTCTGTTAAAACACTCCTTTCAGTACAAAAAAGTGCGCAATTTTATGCCACAAAAAAACATACTGTTGTGACAGAAAACACTAACTAGATGTCCAAGGGGGGAAAGTTCTGTTGTGGAATCACGAAGGAATGTTAAATACTCACTGTGTTGATATACTATGAATCCAGAGGAGGCGAGAAGGCGAAATGAACGCTAGGTGCCATCAGAAAAGTAATTCGCAAATATTTGTTTTGTGATAAAGCTAGTGTTTTTTTAAAAAGTTGTTCTTGATGGTATAAATAACTAGAAATGCAAAACAAAGACATCCCCACAGGATGTCAGCTTTTAAAATACTAATCAAGAGCAATTTTCATATAATGTGAAAACTAACATTGAGAAGAAAAAGGAGAAAGGGCAAACGAAGTAAATATGAAAATTTTTCTTTGAAATATTGAGGAGAAAGTCAATGCAGTTTCTATAAAATACAAATTACATTTAAACGATATTTCTGATATTTGATAAATTTGGTGTATTTTAGGAAACACAGTCCCATTTGTACAGCCAATTTGCTTTTTGGAAAGTTCCTGTAAGAGACAGTTACATCCACCCAGAGCCTCACAACCTGTTTTTACCCCTTTTAACGTTGAATATCACACTTTACAGAGAAAACAGACTACACGACTCAAGAGCTTAATTATAAGATTTCCAAACGTTTCCAGGAAATCTAGGGAACCATATTTTCCAGTAAGTATCTTTATAAATTTGGTGTTAAAATGTTACCAGAAAAGTATGTCTTTTAACTTCCTCTAAAAACAAATATGCAAATAAAATTAAACCCAGGATTCCTCAGAACCCTCTGAGATTATGTTCGCATCCTATAATCACAGTAAACTGGAGCACACAGGGCAACTACTCCCAAAAATGATACCCCAAAGCTGACATGCACAAAGATTGAACAGAGACTTGACTTGAAAAGCAAGTCTCCCCAGGATCCCAATGCCAGGCAATTCAATTGAAGGCCCAGGGAAATTGAACTTGGGTCAGTAGGTTTTTATTTTATGTATCTTATTGTCCACCAATCAATCACTGTCTTTATAAGCGGCATTTCCTCAACAAATGTTTACTGAGCACTCACTGCATGGAAGGCGCTCTTCTAGGTGCCCTTCCGTCAGGGCAGTGAAGAGAGCCCACCACACCCCTTCTCTCCCAGAGTCTACAACCTAAACCAGAGGCAGGACCCGGGAGAGGAGTGGGGAACGTTTCCTACGTGAAGGGACCGTTGGGATTTGAGGCCGGACAATTACTCGTGGTGTGGGAACATCCTGCACATTACCACCAAAAGCCAAGAACAACTCCTGGTCAATGGTGAGAACCAAAATCCTCTCTCCACATTCCAAACCACTGTAGGGGTGGGTGATGTCTTCAAAGTCCTTGGAGGGACAAAGAAGCTTTCTGTGCAAGATCTGAACTCCCCCATCTCGAAAGGTGTCCCACATTCATCACTACCGAAGGATTCAGAAGCAGTCTTAAGAGTTGACCCTAAAAGAAAGGAAGGGTTTTAATACTAAAGTTATTCAGTATTTCTTATCATTTATTATTCATTCTGCCTTTGTGCTCCATCTCAGGAATTGAGAGAAAGAGCAAAAAGGAAAAAAAAAAAAACCGAGCCTCCTGGCTAGGAACTCCTAAAAGGTAGTGACATGTCGGGTTAGTGTAAATTCCGCTTGAGATTCATATTTGCTTTTTTGCTGCCTCTGTTGATTTGTAGCAATTCTTACAAGCTCTATGGCAAAACAATGTAACAGAATGATGCTTTGGAGTTAAAGAAAAAGTTTTAGGTTCTAGATCTTTAAATTACTATACTGTAAATCACTTTGATTCATTTAATTCTTTTTTTTTTAAGATTGGCATCTGAACTAACATCTGTTGCCAATCTTTTTCTTCCTTCTTCTTCTTCTTCTTCTCCCCAAAGCCCCCCAGCACATAGTTGTATGTCCTTCTAGTTCTGCTAGGTGGGATGCCTCCTCAGCGCGGCTTGATGAGCAGGGCTAGGTCCACACCCAGGATCCGAACCGGCGAAACCCTGGGCCGCCAAAACAGAGTGTGTGAACTTAACCACTTGGCCACGGGGCCGGCCCCTGATTCGTTTAGATCTTAAGAGCTAACTATTTATTATAAACATTGCTGAATTAGAAATTCTATCTTAAGTGTCCTGTCCTCAATTTTTCCAGAGCTGGTAAGCTAAAGTTGGCTCTTTTGATAATTGACCCTCAAGTATAATATCCTTAAACTCTCAGGCATGTATTCATTTTGAATATTCGTGAATATTTTGCCCGTGAAGGGAGATGTAGATAAATTTGTTCTCAAATGTATTCTTTTAATGAATAACAAGGACTGTTTATATTTTGGAAGTCCATTTGTGGTTTTTTTTTGTTTGGTTTTACCTTATTTTTGATAGGTTATTTTGCAAAGAAAAGCATCTAGAATGTGTGATGGTTTTAAAATGTCCGCATGTTCTTTGATATTCTTCTCTTTAAGAAGTGAAGCTTACTTCCCCTCTCCTTGAGCGTGGGCTGGACTTAATGACTTGCATTTAATGAATAGCATGTGGCAAAAGTGATGGCGTGCATCTTCCTAGACTAGCTCATAAGAGACATTGTGGCTTCCTCCTCGCTTCTTTGTGTTGGATCACTCACTCTGGGAGGACGCCAATGACAGGTCACGAGGATACTCAAGCAGTCCTGTGGAGAGGCCCACCTAGTGAGGATCTCCTGCCAACAGCCTCGTGAGCAAGCCATCTTGGAAGACGATCCTCCAGTCCCAGTCATGTCTTCAGATGACTCCAGCCCTTTGCTGACATCTTAAGTCAAACCTCATAAGACATCCCGAGCCAGAACCATCTAGCTAAGCCACTCCCCAAATCAGACCCATAGATATTACGGGCTAAAAGTGTTTGTTTTAAGCTGCTAAGTTTAGGGGTAATTTGCTTCTCAGCAATAGGTAACTAAACCAAGAGTGTACTTTGACCATCAGGGTCTAAATAAAAACCTGAAGTTCCAAGGTTATTTTTCACTTTTCATATTGCAAATAAGTGTAACCCAGATATCAGTGGCAGCAACTTCTTTCAGACATCTAGATCTAATTGACTCCCCTCAGAGCCCAGTCAGTTCCAGAGCTGTGAATTCGGAACTCCACTCTGTGGCATCATCCTGGACACAAAGTACTGACCCTCGCCTTCCAGACCTCTGCTTTCACCTGACCAGGGATTATCAAGGCACTCTGTCCAAATAAATGCAGCGTTCTCTTTAGTAGGAATTGAGGTAAGTACAACTTTCCCCATCTTATCATTCAATATTTTATCGGATCTCAATGCATGGATGTATAATCTCTGAATCAGACTAATATCAACATACCCTAAAGTACCAGACCCATTTAGTGGAACAAAACCCCACAGCACTGATTTTTATTGTGTGTGATAGGCAGCTTCTAAAATGCTTCTCAATGATCCCCACTTCCTGGTGTTCATGCCCCTATATAATCCCCTCCCCTTGAGGGTGGGCTGCACCTAGTGACTTGCTTCTAATAAACAGAATGTGACAAAAGTGATGAGATGTCACTTCTGAGATGAAGTTACAAAAAGACTGGCTTCTGTCTTGCTCATCCTCTCTTGTTCTCTCACTTGCTGATCTGATGAGAGCCAGCTGCCATGCTGTACGCTGCCCTAGGGAAGGGCGCACGTGGTAAGGAACTGAGGGAGACCTCCAGCCAGCAGCCAGGAGCAATGGAGGCCCTCCATCCAGCAGCTCACAAGGAACTAAATCCTGCCAATGACCACTTGTATGAGCTTGGAAGCAGCCTCGAGATAACTACAGCCCCAGTCAACACCTTGGTTGCAGCCTGGCCCCCCAGGATCTTAAATAATAAATAGTTGCTGTTGAAGTTTCTAATTTTGGGGGTAATTTGTTATGCAGTAATAGATACCTAACATAATGTGGAAAAAGAATTAGCTTTAAAACAGAAATTATAAAGTGTATGACAGGTGTTTCTAGAGCACACCTAGCACTGTTAGCCCAAAGCACTGAACGAGACTTAGTAAGACCAAAGCCTAGATTACCGGATGGAAATAACATGTGATTCTGGTATAACATGTGATTCTTCCTCTATGCTGATTTTCCCAGATTCATCTGTGTTGTCCTCAAGAAACTAGAATGCAAATATAAACATAGTTACAGAGTCTTAAAATGTTTTTTTAAAAACTCTATTAAGTAGAGACATATCTGCCACGTACATGGCTTCTCATCTCCTCACCTAAGCTTTATGAATTCCTACCACATGGTTGATAAGTTTCTGTTACACCTAAATCTGTATGAAAAGGTGAATTTGGGAGGCTACTTGTCAGCACAATTTGTTTTAAACTCACGAATTGTTTTTTTTCAGAGATTGGCACCTGAGCTAACATCTGTTGCCAATCTTTTTCTTTTTTTCCTTCTTCTTCTCCCCAAGCTCCACAGTACATAGTTGTATATTGTAGTTGCGGGTCCTTCTAGCTGTGGCCTGTGGGATGCCACCTCAGCATGGCTTGATGAGCAGTGCCATGTCTGTGCCCAGGATCCAAACCAGTGAAACCCCGGGCCGCCGAAGCAGAGCGTGCCAACTTAACCTCTTGGCCACGCAGCCGGCCACTAAACTCACAAATTTTAAAAAGGGAAAAGTAGCTGAGTTTTGAGTTTTCTCTAAATCAGTATTTCTTTAGATATATTCCATGGAAATCTAATTATACAGGCTATTTAGAGGTGGTATGTTTTAAAAGGGTTCCATTATCAAATAAGTTTGAGAAAAACTTGGTGAGATTAAGTTAAAACAGGCTTCTTTTGGGCATGACATCTCTAAGCCTTTGCTCATAAATGAGTGCTGTGAATCTCCAAGAAACAGTATGTTATGCAGTGTTTTTAAAGCCTATTTGAACGAAGGACCGATGTTTCTCCGTGAGCATGCCCTGGAATCACGGTTGGGAAAAACCTGAAAATTACGAGCTTACCTGATGGCCGACATCTGCGTGCTGTTCCCAGCTACTGGAAGATTCCACCCCTCAAATGTGTCAAAGTCCTCCTCTCCAAACCTCCCTCACGGATTGTAAGCTGTATTAGGCAAGGGACTGGACATCCACATTTAAATTGGTTTAATATCTCTGATCACTGGTGAGTTTAGCCTCAATCCCAGTTGCTACAGGCAACATTACTAATAATTCATCTGCTCTTAAAATAGGGTCCATAAATGATAACAGCAAATCCAGGCTAAGTGTTAGCTACATGCCAGGTACTCTTTTGATGCAATATAATCTCTACCTACAGATGAAAGAGTTGACAGCAAAAGAGTAACGTTAAAGGAACCACTGTTTAAACACTGCCACTAATATCCAGGCACCATATAGATGTGGCATGATGTACTATTGTAACATAGCCATGACCTGTATCAGTTCAACAATTCAGTACAAATTCCATTATGATAGGATGAACACAAATTAATGTCGCAATCTATTAAACTTCATTTCAGTTTAATGCTAAATTTCCCTCTATTGATTATTATGTTGTAACGACAGAAGCATGTTGGCATAATATTCTCATAGCAAATTAATATTAATGCTGCAAGAATGATATAATCAATGTTGAGCTACAAAAAATTAACAATCCATTAGGTTTCTCCTAGAGTCTTTTGAACTAAATTAGCAATAAAATTCACAATGCTATTTTTAAGCTTTACAATATTAAAGTGAGATTTTTCTCTGGGAGCTTCTACAAATCTAGCAAATAGACATTAAATTTGTATATGATATCAACCAGTGAGAACACTTAGCATTGCCTTTTGCTTTTGTTAATGCCTATAAGTCCACATGTATTTTGCATAATGAACACTAATGCCTATAAGACTACATGTGTTTTTACAAATAAGTACTAATTAGCTTTTAGGAGGAAATAGTCTTAACTTTAAAAAATTATGCCACTCAGGGACTTTTTATAATTATTAAAATTTTAATTGAGTATCATAGCAAAGTTTGTAATTGATAAAAACAGATCAGATACTCATTGTATAACCTAGAAGGGGTCCGATTGTATCTCAAAGCTGGTTGCTTAGTTTTAACATATGCATTACATCTTGAGTAAGTTTAGGAAATAAAACAAAAACAACAGTTGGAAATAGAACTCCTCCGGAGAGGAATAAAAAGACCATGTGGAAACTGCCCTTCATCATTAAAGCACAGAGAGGGTATAAAGAGCTTGGGGTTTTGAGTTTGATAGACTTGTGTTCAAATTGCACCTCTAGCTGTCTTACCTTAGATTAGTCACTTAACCTCTCTGAGTTATCTCATCTGAATTGATGGTGGCGGAGTGATAATACAGGATTAAAGATAACATATATGTACCCAGTACCTGGTAAGCACTCAATAAAGTCCTGGAAATACCATCATTACCCAATAAAAAGAGCAAATGCCAAAACTCATTTTTTAGAAATCCTCTGTGAATCTGTCTTAATAAAAAGAGAATGGGAGCCAGCCCTGTGGCCTAGTGGTTAAGTTCACCACACTCCACTTCGACGGCCCAGGTTCGGTTCCTGGGCATGGACCTACATCTCTTGGCAGCAGCCAGGCTATGGCGGTGACCCACATTCAAAATAGAGGAAGACTGGCACAGATATTAGCTCAGGGAAAACTTCCTCAGCAAAAAAAAAAAAGAGAGAGAGAGAGAGAAGAAAGCCCCAGCTGGCAAGTAATCACATATTTGAAATTTGCTTGATATGACACAGTGAACCTCAAGAGATGTTTTCCCAGTGTAGGGAAGATCATTAGGCATTAGGCATCTAATCCTTAGAGCAGGGATGAGAAGGGAGGAGGAGGAGGGAACATCAGTGGATTTGGGGATGGGGCTGCACAGACAGGATGGAGGCAAGGAAAAGGAACCTGAGAGAACTTTGTGTTATAAATTTGGTTTGTCACATTGCCTTGTCCGGGTCTGTCTCCCTTACTAGCCTGAGAGCAACTTGAGAAGCTGGAACTTTCTCCTTTATCTTGTGCTGCCCACAGTGCCCAGCACTGACTTATAAACATGCTGTTCAGTAAGTGCTGGGGGAGAGGGAGGAAGGAATGAAGAGATGAGGAAAAGGAACTGGAGAGAAAGGCAGAAGAAAGAAGGGGCCAGATGAGCAAAAAGAAGGATGACGAGAAGAAGGAAAGAAGGAAGAAGAGGACAGAAACTGGTTACTCTCTCAAATAAGAATCAGAAATTTATATTCTGTAAAGTTTGCTCACATCTACTGTTTGTGTTTTGTTTTGTTTCGCTTTGTTTACTTAGCATCAGTTCTTTGGTTCACCTGTACTAAGACCAAGAAAGCTTTGTGTAGTTGAGAGTAGAGTTATTGGTGAGGGCACCAGCAGCTACACCAGCTCCAGAGAGATTGGGGCTGGAGCTGTGAGATAGGGGAGCCGGACAGCCATCCCATTAAACGTATCCCTGCACCTAATCCCTTCCTGTAATTCACACTGGACAATCTCTTTACAGCCTGCTAACACCTGGGGCACAACCAAATCTTCTCCATTTCTCTCTGTAATCCCTCCAAAGGTATTTTCTGAGTTTTAGTCTTTTGTGCTTTATCCACTGGTTTCTGAGATCCTGAATACCTTCCTTTCAACTGCATTTCATAGATAGCTGAAAAGCCTTTTGCTGCCATACTCCCTACTTTGTACACATCCTTAAGTCTTTTGTCCTGGCTTCCTTACCTGTCCCATAAAATTTAAATTGAGTCGATTAGTTTCGATCATAGGGCCAAAGAGGCTAAGGTCAAAGATTAAATACCAAAAAAAGCTTATAAATCTCTGGGCTTAAAAACATTAGAGCATAAAAAGAACCTTAACAATGACTTAGCACCACCCTCTTATTTTACAGATGAGATCATTAAGGTCCGGAAAGATCAAGTCTGCTCAGAAACAAACAACTATACATGGCCACAGAATGACCTTTAGTCTTAGGCAATCATCTTGAAAATTCTTGTTTTTCATTTCCAGAAGTCAGGCAAGAATGCAGATTACATCACGTAATCACCACCCTCCTGCAGGACTCCAGGAAACCTCAAGCCCGTTTAGGTTCTCTTCCTCTAATTACCAGTACCTTTCTCACTGAAGTATTTGTCCTAATCCTTAACCCTGACTTGCATTTCTTTATTTTGTCAACTGAGGAAGAGAAACGCCATATAAAGGTCTCAGATAGCAGGTGGAGGGTAGCGGTGGAGATGCAAGTGTCCTAGAGACAGATGGGGTTCAAGTCTCAGCTCTCGGTCACCTCCCAACACTCTTCCTGTGGGCAAATTTCTTAAGGTCTCTAAGTCTAAGTTTTGTAATGGGAAAAACACCTACTTTGCAGAGTTTTTGTGAGGGTTGGATGAGCAGCTCCAAACCCACTTTCCTCTATCACTATCTAGACCCTTGTTTGGGACATGTGTCACAAGTCTAGACTTGCCCCTTTTTCACAGCGACCTCCTGGGTGGGAGAAATCAAGTCTCCTTTCCTAATCAATGACTTCAACTGGAACTGCCTCAGTCCTTCAGGTCAGAGATGCTCTAACAATACTGACCCTCAAAAGGGAAGAGATGAAGATCTCAATCCCTTTTATTCCTAAAAGTTTCTTGACACCTTGTGGAAATGTGTTTTCGTGCTCCCCATCGCACGTACACCAACCAGCAACTGCCATATACCAAGAGCACAGAGAGGGGCTGTGATTGTCTGGCCAAATAAAATCCTACCCCACCACCGTATACATCTGTATTTTATGTATTTTCTTCATCTTTATATTATATCTTCTTATAACATGGATCATAAGTATTTGGTTCTATTGTAGACTCAGTTGTGTATTCTTTTTGTTGATTACAATGTAAGAATTTTCATATTGCTACAAAAACAGATGTGCTTGTTACTATACATTCACATATCTGAAAAGAGCCAATAAGTGATTCTTCCTAGAAAAGGAAGGTCTGGCCAAGCTGACCTTATATCTCCAACACCCGAAAGACACCTTTAAATAGCCGTTAACTTTGCTATAAAATATTCCAACATTTTTTCTCATTGGGCAACTCTACCAAAATGATAATATCATTTATTGTGTTGCTATTCTGTTCTAAACATTTTTGTAAGTGTTATGCCCATTTTTCAGACAAGGAAATTGAGGTGCAATGGGGTAAAATATTCCGCAAAATGTCACTCAGCTAGCAGACGACAGAGCCTGGATTCATAACAGGTGTATATGATTCTGTAATTGATGCCTACATCATCTTAACATACAGAATTCTGCACCAACGAAATAAAAGCCAAATGGCTTAAAAAGCAGTTGTGGCAGAAAGTTTTAAACCTAAGACTGTTAAAGAAAACCAGAGCTGGACAGTAGTTAAAGCTATAAAAGTAGATTTTATTCAGAAACGATTGCAATAAACAAAAAAAGATCTCAGTATAGAACTGGGCTCAATTCCAAAAACAGCATGGACAGGCAAGAGTAGGACCAGTGGATGGGAAAGTACTAAAGGATTACTTACATTTTTCACAGAGGTAGGGTGGGGATTTCTGTCTAAACTGACTCGACAGAGTTCTTGCTGCAGGCAGGCCAGGGTGATCAGATAGCACCTCAGGGATGCGGGGGGATGAGGAATCTTCTCAGGTATTGAGGATGATCAGATATCAAGGGTAGGGAGTTCTCCCTTAACCGACTTAGCGACATTCTTGCTACAACTGGGAGATACAGGTCCAACAAGGACAGACACCAGATTCAAAGCCTAGAGGGCTTGAAGGAGGCTGACTGGAGTTTAGTCAAGGAGAGTTTTTGTCGAGACACAGGCAGCGACTGAAGCTCAAAAACTGCGTCCTGGCAGAGAGGAGCTAGAGTGAACTCCCAAGGAAGTTATGTGCAGTAGGCCACACCTGACAGCGTGGATGGGCTGCAGGAGCAATAGAGCCATTTGGCTGCCTGCATGATCAGAGACCTGGCTTTGTGCTCTCACTGACTATTCGGTCCAGCGTTCGCTGAGACCACAGAATGGCGGAGCCCATGAAAACTTTCCATGAGACATTCCATGTTCTAGTCTATGTTAAATCCAGTGACAAGCTGAAAGATACATATAAAACGCAAAAGTTGTCAAAATGACCTTACCTAAGAGCTCTAATATTTTATAAGAAAAGTTTAAAAGATAGGCAAATGGATAAAAAAAGATGTGGTGTATGTAGGCACACACACGCACACACACACAAAATCCTACCATTTGCAACAACATGGATATATCTTGAGGACATTATGCTAAGTGAGATAAATCAGACAAAGAAAGAAAAATACCATATGATATTGCTTATGTCTGGGATCTAAAAAAGCCAAATTTATAGAAACAGAGAGTAAAATGGCGGTTACCAGGAACTGGGGGTGGGGAAATAAAGGATGTATTGTTTAAGGGGTACAATCTTGCAACTAGTAGGTAAATATGTCCCAGAAATCTAATGCACGGGATAGTGAATACAGACAACATTATTCTATTACAATCATATAACCTTGCTAAGAGACGAGATCTTAATTATTCCCACCACAAAAAAGAACTGATAATTATGTGACATGATAGAGGAGTTAACATTGCTACAATGACGATCACATTTAACTTATGTATGCAGTATATAAATAATACATAAATATATTAAATATGTATTTAGTATATAAACACCTATATATGTATTAAAAACATATATTTAATACATAAATACATATGTATTTAATACATATAATAAATGTATCATATCAACATGTTGTATACCTTAAATGTGTGCAATGTTGTATGTCAAATGTATTTGAATAAAAATTTTCAAACCAAAAAAAGATAGGCAATATATATGTATATGTGTGTATCTATTTGTATACTATATATATAAATATATATGTATGTATTTATATAGATATAAATATACATATGGTAAATATTTACCTGAGGAATGAGATGTGTGTGTGTGTATGGACATATATTGTCCAAGATTAAAAAATGATCTGTAAAGATCAGAGAATCTATCGCTGATGGTCTAAAATGACAAATGTTTCACCAATTATAGCATCAGAGCTACTTGCACTCTGTACCGCTTATCTGGACAGTTATGGCAGAGACTATGTTTTCTCAGTAAGCCATACTTCTTCAGAGAAAGGGCTTCCCAGCAGTCAGGAGGACTTTTCAGTCCAGGCTACAGACGCTGGAGAAGTTGTGGTGTCTTAAGGAGGATACTGGTTGAGATCTCTTATCCAGAAACCCATCTGGCATTTGGTCAGAAGCTATCGAGTTCCTTTAGGGCACTCTGGTCACTGGATCCTCTGCACCTGGAGAGAGTGAACAGTAATAACAGGCAGCTAAAGTTGGAAAGAGTCTCCCCCAGATTCCACCTAGGCACTGCCCTTCTCTTGCTCCAATTTACAACACCAGACTTCCCCTGGGCTTCAGCCCGGCTTCCTCCTGGGCTCCTGATTCTTGCTTTTGCTTTCTTTGATGAGGCTTAATGCTCAAGGCTTTGTCCACCCTTTGGTGCCGTGACCAGTGACTCTCGTTTTGAGCCAGTTCCGTCCCTGCATGGAGCTCTCACCTAGCCTTGCCTTTGTTCCTAGCTCCTTCTTGTCCCATCCCTAGCACCCAACCTTCCCCAACCCACCCGCCTCCACCAACCCCACATCCCACTTATTCTTCCTCCAAGCCTTGGGCTCATGCCTGCTCACATCTGACGTGAGCTCCTTGCTTCTGTCCAGCCATCCATGCTGGCTCAGCTCCCCACCTTGCTATATGACAGCCAGAGAGCCACCAAGTCCCAAGCTGAGGCCCCAGCAGAGCAAAGGAAACATTCTTTCAAAATATTTATTTCAAAAATACATAAGGAAGTCCTGACAGCCTTCGCCCGAAGCAAAGAAAATCCACATCTCAACAGCAAGCTCCCTGAATCCCTGTTCTCCATCCCACAGTGTAGACACATCCAGGGCACAATGAAAGGAAGTATTTCCTTGAAACTAGGAGACTGACCTTGCAGCCCCAATCTCACCTACTAGTCCCGGGAGCCATGATGTCTTCAAATTTTTAATTGTACAGATTCACAGTGAACGGGGAGGTTGTGACAGTTATAATATAGCTAAACGTCAAATGTGTTGTATTTCCCTTACTGAGAATTATTGAAGATTGAGCTAGAAATATTTGATTAAAATTTATCCCACAAACAACATTGGTTTCCAAAAACTTAGTTCTACTGAAACTAAAGTATAAATTTAAAACAAAAAGTGTGACATGTCTTGCAACAGCAAAGAATACTAGGAAAGTTTGGAGATTTTTTTCCTTTATTATAAAATTAATAAATGCAGATTAATTGAAAATTTGAAAAAAAAAACCAGAAGCAATTTTCGAAACTATCCCACCACCATAATACATCAGAATTTCATGTATTTTGTTCATCTTTATGCTATATCTTTCTTGTAACACAAATCACAAGTATTTGATTTATTGTATACTCAGATGTGGATTTTTTGTTTATTACAATGTAAGCATTTTTATAATGCTACATAGTCTTTATAATTATTATTTTAATGGTTGTGTAATATTCCACAGACTGACCAAACTGTTTTACCTAACCATTTAGGCAGTAAATTGAATATATAGGTTGTTTCTAATTCTTCTCCATTTTTTACTTAATACTGCTAATGTGAAATAATAGAAAAAATATATATACTGGTCTCTGCCCCGAGTTCCTGACACAAAGCTCCTAAAACTTTTATAATTTCCTTAGCGATAAGAGCACTGGAAGAATCTAGAT